ATTTTATATAATAATAATAAAACATTTTATTACGTCAAACCGTCGTGAAATAATTAAATAAAATTTGCTAGTTACGTCAAAGTCAAGTTTTCTAAGCTTATAAAACATTTTATTAAAAAACAGATTCAATAAATATAAGTACATGTTATATATATACTTATATTTATTAAATCTGTTTTTTTTATAAAATGTTTTATTATTATCATATAAAATATAAATTATTTAATTATTTTTTATTTTTTTATGAGTAATTTAATTTATTCTAGTTATTTTTGTACGAGAAAAATACTATCACGGGTATACGTTTTATAACAAATTAAATATATTTATGTTCAAAAATTATATTTGACCTTTAATTTTAATTTTGTATTTTATTAAAATTAATAATTAACATATATACTTAATTGCGAATTATATGGATGAACAAAATCCCTATTATGTGTGTAAGAGATTTCGGAACTCTTTGCTAAAAATAATTAAAATTAAAAATCAAATATAATTTTTGTACACTTTTATATTATTAAAAATATATAATTCGACTCTCGAAATATATTAATTCATTATAAAACGTATACGTATTAGTATTTTTCACATATTAAAATGATTAGAATAAATTAAATTAATTATTAAAAAACTAAAAATTAATTAAACGACTTAGACTTAGATGATAATAATAATGAAACATTTATTAAAAAATAAATATAATAGATCAGGTTAATATTTTATTTATTTATTTATTTATTTATTTATAACATCATAAAATTCTGTCCTTTCCGAAATACGCGAACGCTACGAAAAGATAAATCTCGTACATGCCGCCGGACGAGTTCATGAGCATGAGACGCTCTTATCTTGGGAACGTATTAATAGTTACTGCATTGACCACTACTACGATATGGCGCTGAAATCAGTGAGAAATGCTGGTCTCTCCTTCATCCAGACCTTTGGCGATCTGTCTATTAATCTGTGGCTCCGTGATGCGAGGATCGCCCGCGTGACGAGATTCTAACCTCGGTCGAGTTCGTGCATCCTCGGCTGCGTAGTGACTGCACAGTCGCTGACAGATATCAGCTGTTCCAGTAAATAAACCGCCGCGTTTGGACGATGGACGGCATCGAGAACGACGACGTCGCGCGGGATCGTCAATCAGCTGACGAGGATGTCAGCGAGTCGGATAACAATAGCGAGTGCTTGTCACAGCAAAGCGAGGGCGACGTCAATTGGTATTACATGCCAGACTCGATTCTCCTGAGCATCTTCCAGTACCTGAGCCCGAAGGAGTTGACGATCGCGGGTGAAGTGTGCAGTTCCTGGCATAGGGTGTCGCGCGACGAGTTCCTATGGAAATATTTATTTTATCGTACGTACAAGATAGATCCGGACGTCGGCATCGTGCCAGGTTTGTTTCGTACAGCAGTAGTATTTTCGACGTCACCATATTTATTTATGTATATATATGTATGTGTGCGTGTGTGATTTGAAAATATAAATATACTTTGTTGCATATTACATGCGTGAGATGGATCAAAAATAAATTTCTTTTGTGTGATTCACTTATTGTGTTATTCAGTTTGAACAATTATTTGAACCACAAGAAAAAACTCAGTTTAGTTAAATTAGATAATTATTTTTTATATAATACATATATAAAAAGATAATAAGACAATACATATAAAGATAATGAATACTAAGAACAAATGATAAAAAGTAATTATTTGGAAGTATATCAGACAGAGCTTAAATGAGCTTTGATTAAACTCTTAAATGAGTTTTAATAATTTTATTGAGAATTGTTTTTACATACTCATTAAAATTTATGACAATTCTCACTGTTTTGATGTCTGTCTAATGACCTCTTTTGTATCTGTATTATGTATGATATCCTTATTAGCAATAATACATATATCTAATTTTGTGTACATCTTTTGACATATATTTCATAAATATTTTAATGGAAGAGAGAATAATATTTTACATTAATTAATTTACACATACATATTAATATATTACATTTTATGTTTTATACATCTCTCTTGATTAAAAGAATATTAGTAATTATTATTAACTTTCTTTCTCTCTTAGGTAAAACTTCTTGGTTGGGAGAATTTAAACGTTTGGCATATCACACTCCACTGATAGAAACTGAAATTCTCAAGGAACATTCACATCAAGTTTTACATGTGAGCTTCTCCCATAATGGCAAAATGTTTGCAACTTGTTCAAAAGATGGATATATTCTTGTAAGCTTTTTTCTGTCGTTTATACTTATTATTTTCTCTTGCAGATATCAAGTATTACAAATATGCTATTATTTCAGGTATGGCAAAGTCAATATCCTGTTACTATAAAATATTTACACGATATGAAAACATTTAGTTGGAAATATACACAATTTTCACAGTTTAATTGTACAGATACCTTACTTCTTGTTTCTGGTGTACATTTTGGTACACCCCATAGTACTTCGGGAGAAATAGCAGTCTTTAAAGTAGCACGTAAGTAAATAAAAAATTTTGAAGAAAATTATGTAAATTGATAAATCTTAAATAAGAAGATAATAAGTTATCTTTTGACATATTTTAAATAAAAGGCTTCAATTCTTATTCAAATAATTTCTTATATATGCTTTATGTTTATTCGTAGCTGGCTTTGACCTTCAATGTAGAGTAGTGAATAAGCCGTATGACATATTTGGTACATGGTACAGTGAGCGTTACCTTTTAAGCGGAAATCTGCATTGGTTGGCACATTTGGTCAGTACTAGTATAGTTTGGCTGAATAAGGCAAACCAGGAATCAGCTAGTGAACATGTCCCCATCATGACTCAACTTTTTAGGTAAAGTTACATTTAATATGCTTTCTTCATTTTTAATGTTAATTCTAATGGAGCACATAAATAGTTGTCGAAAATCATTTTTTTTCACAAATCTGTAATTGTTCTCAGATTCTACAATGGAAATGCTTCCTCAATTAGAGCAATTATGGTTGCAAATTGTTTAGCGCCTGCACCAGCTGAAACTACAGAACAACAAAGCCAACCGTCCTCCTCAAATACAAAGGAGGAAAAAGGAAATCCGCCAAGTCACAAGGATTTGTTGTCACCTTCAAACGAACCTAGTAGCTCGCAACAGCAGGAAGAACCAGAAGTGCTACACCATGCATCATCGAGATTACAGTATGTTTAATTTATTCCTGTTTGACATTATAATAAATTTATTATTTATTAAATGATTAACATTTATGTAATGTATATTTATGTATGATAGATATAGTAAATTAGAAGGTGGTTTTTCGAATTGGAGAAAACTTGGTGACGGTTTCGAATATGCTAGTCCTATACAATACAACCAGGAATATAGGCAAGTTGAGATGCAGCGGAAGGCGCATGAAAGCGACAGCGAAAGTGAGAATCCATTGTGGGAAGAAGAGAGCGAGTCTGGAGGTAGAAAAATTACGCACGCGTAATGCATAGTAGTAAAAAATCGATCGTTATAATTATTGTATAAAATATGATTAAAAAAAAAAAAATAAATTTACAGAATCTTCAATAACCGAAGAATGTGATACTGATGAGTTAGCCAATAATCCAGAAAGTTTCTTATATTTACAACTGGCTCCAAAACATATACTCCGCATAAAGTTGGTTTTAAAAGAATTAAATTAGTTAGTTTCCCGAGAAGATTGGACCCGGGACCATCGCTACGCGAGAGAATAGCTCAGCGGGAAAGGGAGCGAGAGAGACAAAATACTCCGTCAGTAGAAGATTGGTTAAATTATGCATCTGTAGCAGACAAATTCGATAAGATAGATCATTTGATTGATCTTCACGGTCACATCATTGGAATGGGACTTTCTCCTGATCATAGGTCAGTTATCAGTATTATCATATCATAAGATGATATATTTGAAGCGTTGTTAATTACACATACGTTTTCATACAGATATCTTTATGTAAATACAAGGCCATGGCCAAAGGGTTATGTTATTACTAATCCTTTACAACCACCACCGATAGCACAAGAAATTGATATACACGTGATTGACTTGGTAACATTAAAACAAGTTGGTACAATGTTAAGAGCACACAAGGCGTATACACCTAATAACGAATGTTTCTTTATATTTTTGGACGTGTGTAACGAATATGTAGCAAGGTAATGATAATTCGACTTGCATTTACATAATTCATCAATTTAATTTACAAAAAATTTTATATTTCTAAAAAAATATGTAAGATTAATTATTAATTAAAATTAATATCAATCAAAATTAATATTTGTCGCTAGTGGTGAAAATAAGCTTAAACGACTTGACTACGACGTAACTAGCAATTTTATTTGATTATTTCACGACGTTTCGACCATTTGGTTGTGGTCCTTTTCAAGTGAAATTTCATCAATTAAACCGAGATTAACATAACATCACACCGGTGTTATTTGAAATCGAAAGTTAAACGTTAAAAGAGGAACACGTCCCATCGTTATGATGTTGTTGACGAAACATCATAACGATGGGACGTGTTCCTCTTTTAACGTTTAACTTTCGATTTCAAATAACACCGGTGTGATGTTATGTTAATCTCGGTTTAATTGATGAAATTTCACTTGAAAAGGACCACAACCAAATGGTCGAAACGTCGTGAAATAATCAAATAAAATTGCTAGTTACGTCGTAGTCAAGTCGTTTAAGATTAATTATTAAATATCTTTGTTTACAGCGGTGCAGAAGACAAACATGGTTACTTGTGGGATAGACATTATGGAATTTGTTTAGCAAAATTTCCTCATACCGATGTAGTTAATTCCGTAGCTTTTAATCCACGTGATCCTGAAATGTTAGTTACAACCAGTGATGATTATACAGTTAAAATATGGCGAAGTCGGGCTATGGTAAAGGCTTTAGGTTTAGATGAAAATTCTTATCGTAGAGGGATGGAAGTGCGAAAAAGACGTAGGTTTCAGAGAAGCAGTAATAATATCGACTGACTAAAAACTATTAAATTTCCAATTTAAAACATTTATTTTTACAAGATTTCTAGAGATATATTCTGCACTTAAGTTAAATTGTATACAAAATCGTCCAAAATACTACTATCATGTAAAAGCACAAATAATCAATCTATTTTTTGATTGCCTGGGATTTATGCACACAAACGCACGTGCAGACTTTTATTTCTTATAATGTAATACAATCTGGAATCTCACCAGATGAGTACTATTTGAAAGAGTTACTAAAAATGTTGTTAAAAGAATGAATATCGCAAAGAATTATTATCTATTGTTAAAATTAGAAAATATCTAATTAAAAAAAATTAAAATTACATTATTTAAATATTAAAGAATATCATCAAACTATTTTTAAATTGTCAGGTTAAAGTTTATTGATATAGCTTCTGCAAATGGAACTCTAAGCCTTATAGAATTTATCTTCTGATAAAATTGTAAAATTGGAACCTTCACTGTGTGTGTGCAATGATTATTAAGTTTTTCATGATTATAATTCTGTTCACACATGTATGTGATCTGTAATACTAAATTTTTTAATTTATTCTATATATTTTTAGCTATAATTTGAAATATTTATTTCGTCTACTTATACTTGTACTAAACAAAGGAAATAATGAATGGATATAAATGTGCACTATTTTATATCATTTTTTCATACATTTCATTTTTTGATCTTGTATGGTGTATAATTATAATATAAAATTATAAATGTAATATAATAAATCTTCCACAAAAACGAACAAATTTGGAGATATTTCCAATGTTCTTGTTACAAGTTCAAATTTGATTTAGTAATTATGAAATATATAAAAAATTAATATAATTAAAAAATCTATTATAATTAAATGTGGAATGTTAATAAAAGTCACAGATTAACAAGTAATATATATTTTCTTTTAACATAAAATCTAAAACTATTAGCAAATAGTACATATGAAAAAAGTGATTCGGATGTAAACATTTAAGGAATGATTGTTATTTTTCAGAGAATATTCAATAATTTACTATTCTTATGATATCACATACGATCTACATAGACCAACAATTTTGAACATTGCTTCCATGCGATATCGTTAAAGCATTATAATAAAAATGCCACATGTATTAGTGCAGAATCATATTTATAGTTTGTACACCTAAAAGGATATATTGTAACGATTCACAAAATCATTGTATTGTTTAATTTGATTTACTGCTTGTTATATATTATAAGTTATATAATCACTTACCTACAATCCGCCATTTCTTTTGTATGATACTGACTTGAGAAACAACATAAAGGAATTTATTTTCCATTTAGCAGAGTTTTCAATGGGTATATGGGTATATTTATGCTGAACCTGTTGCAATAGGTTCTGTAAGCAAAGCAAACAGTATGAGATAAAAATGCATTAGTAATTAAGTTACTAATACTACTACTAGATTTATTATAAAAAGTTACCAGGATGAGATGACATTCCATCTTGATGGGCATTTCCAGTTGTAGGTAAGACTTTCTTATGAGCATCCTTATGTCCATGACAATGTTCACATTCATCATCGCTATCTTCGGAACTACTTTCACCAAAAGTTTTGGTCTCTCATAAATACAACAACCTGTTATTAAAAAAGATTATATAATTTTTACATTTTGAATAAATCTAGAAAATTTTATAGAAATAAATATTAACATTTTGATTTTTTCTTATTTAGATGTTCATTATCAACAGTTCCTTCAGTCCATTGAACCTTTTTGCTCGATTTTGGTTTTCGTAAACGTAATCGTACAGTAGGCACATCCTATAAAACAAAATTATGAAAATTTATTAAACTATAATAAAGCTAATAATTAATTGCACTTTAAATTACATGTAGTAATCACAAAAATATTGTCACAATTAATTGAAAAATATTTATTATAGAAAATGAATATAAAATATACTCAAAAATTTAATATTTTTATTTATAATATTTTATACCAAGTTTGTGGCACATATACATACAAATATATTATATTTATAAAATTTATATTATATTATATTTATATTATATTTATTTTATTTATATATTATATTTTATAAAATATAAGTGTTATATATATATATATATATATATAAAATTTGTAAACTGTATTATCTGAGAATGTAATGGTTATTATATATAATGTTTATAATATATATATGCATACAAAGTAGAGTTTCTTCAAACATCATTAAATTAAAATTTGTTGCATAAGTGTTACATATAAAATTGCATAGAAAAGATTAAATACATGTTCATTAATTATTGCACAATTTTTTGTGCTATTAACTTTTCTATTTTATCATCCGAATATTTTAATATATTTCTTAAAATTTCTGATGTATGTTGTCCTAACATTGGTGGTGATGATCTCACTCTGTTGGTGGCATAGCTATATGTCACAGGTGGCCCAACAAGTTTCACTTTCCCTGTAACTGGATGCTCTAATTCTTTAATCAATTTTGTATGTTTTACATGGGGATCATCAAACACCTGAAAATGATATGCCAAGTTTAAGAGGATGCAATTTTGCATATGTGTTGTAAATAATCAAAATTATTTGAGATTATTTTAAATCAATTCATTTACCTCTTTTATAGTGTTCACTACTCCATAAGGAAATGAAGCACCTTCAAATATCACAGACCAATCTTGATTTTTTTTCCTCTTAAATGCATCTCGAAGAATTTGCAGTAATTCCGTTCTATTCTTAACTCTAGCAGCATTATTCTTAAATTTATTATTATTAATGAGTTCTGGTAATTGTAATCTCTTAATTAACTCTAAAAATTGCAAATCACTGCCTGCTCCAACTGTCATATATCCATCTTTCGTCGGGAAAGCTTCATAAGGAACTATGCTCTCATGTTCAGATCCCCGTCTTGTTGCTTCCTTATTTCCATTCAAGTAATTTGAAGCGATGTTGATCAAACTGGCAACTTGAGTCGACAAAAGATCACATTGTATCCACTGGCCTTGGTTTATTTCTCTTCTTTGCAGCAAAGCTGCCATAATTGCTCCATGAGCATACAATCCCATTGCTAAATCTGTCATTGCTACACCAACCTTGCATGGCGGTCCATCTTTAGATCCAGTAATGTGCAAAAGTCCACCTAGGGAAGCAGCAATGACATCGTAGCCAGGTCTATTTGCGTAAGGTCCCTTGAATCCGTAGCCAGTCATCGAACAATATATAAGATGTGGAGCTACTTTGGCTATGTCTTCATATCCTAGGCCCATGCTGCTCAGTTTTCCTGGTACGTAATTTTCCACCAGGACATCGCAAGTTTGCGTCAGCTCATAGATGATGTCTTTACCTCTCTTCAGATCGATACAAACGCTCTTCTTGTTTCTATTCACGCTCATGAAGTAGGTCGATTCCTGCGTTCCTTCGAAGAAGGGCGGACCCCACTTGCGCGACTCATCTCCAGCACCAGGTCGCTCGATCTTCAGGATCTCCGCGCCGAGATCTCCCAGAATCATCGTGCAGTAAGGCCCGGCGACGATCCGTGTCAGATCTAGAACCCGTATCCCGTTCAACGGGGAACGATCGTGCTTGACGTTCGTTTGACAAAACTCACGTTCGCACTTCTTCAAGTGGTACTCACTTGTCAAAAGTCTCTCGCCCGCGAGCTTTCGCGAGAAACCCGTAAACACGTTACGTATCATCGTTGACACTTGAAGCACGAAACCAGAAATGATTTGTATAACCTCGTCGTAAGGATATTAAATTTAATTATGTATATCGGAGTAGAGAAGAGTATGTGCTCTACTTTTTATGTTTAAGATAAGATAAAGATGTTCTTACTCCACCGAGATGCTGAATCGTATGATATTGGAGGGGATATTAAAATGTGACAAGAAGCGAGGTAAGAAGAATAATTATTTGCATTCTGTAAATAACGTCACCATCGACGATTTTTCACCGTCCTCGCGATGAGCGAGTAATAAACGTCACATACGTAAATGAAGATGTAACAACGAATGTGCATACCTGTGACCCGGAGTCAGTGACATCCGCCTCGGAGATGGTTTCCGTTTGCGTTTGCAAAGCCGCTTGCTCCGACATCGTTCTCTCCATGTGTTGGTCCGCGTTATTTTTTTTGGACGAGGGACACGCACGATTATACTGCAGCGTCAAACGTAACCTATGTGATTTTCCGCCATTGCTGCAGTGCTGCCAATATTTTTTTTGCAATTGCGAATATGAATGCAAAATTGATCCTTTTTGCAATTTCAATTTTCAACATTTTAATTTTTGGAAAGGACGCTTAAATTAGAAAGAACATTAAATTTCTAAAAATGCAATTTCAAATAAATTATTTACTGATAAATTATGCATATGCAATTTCTCTCTTGTAATCAGCTTGTTAATTCTATTAATATGTAACACTTATGATTATAAATAGTACTTTTCAATAACGATAGATTGTTTCCAAGTTGTTACATATTTATAAAAATTTTTACAAAAGGTAAATTCTTCTCTCGACCGTACTGAAAATTTTTACATTTATAGAAAAAAAATTTACTTAAAAGGATAAATAGAATATGATAAAATACAGGAAATTACAAGAACATAAGGATGTTTATTTTAAGAACATCGCATGGAGTGCTGGATATACCAATGTTACAATAGCATTGTATTTGTTTTCCACCGTAATTCTAAGATAGTGCTGATTTTGAAGACATAGGTGTATCGATTAAATTGTTTCAATTTTTTCTATGTTTTGTATATTTAATCCAGCTGTAAAACAAAAAAGAGGATATTATTTAGCTGCATTATTTTCTTATAATATAATAAGATAAACGACAAATATTAAATGTATATTGAATATGTCAACAGATATTTACCTTCTTGAAACCAATGTCAGCGGCATATTCCCTAAAGCACTGCCGGCAGATGTTCAGGCCATATTTGCGAATAAGCCCATGTCTATTTGCACAGGCACGGCTACAATAAATCAATTTATTTAATACACACATATGTACATTTATCTAATATATATTAGAATTAATATTAATTTATTTAATATCTTCTAACTTTACACACAATTGTTTTAAGTTTTAAAATAATTTAAAATTAAATATGGAAAAAAAGAGGAAAAATATATAAAAAATAAGTAAAACCAAGTATTAAATAAAATAACTACAGTGCGACTTAACACATGATACTTTTGAGGTTAGTATGTATATTTTGTAGACATCTTACAAAAGCAATATTATAATTAACATCGATATATAATATATTGAAATTACTTCAAATTTTAATTAGTTTATCAAATTTTTCTGCTCTAATTATAACATTTTTATGCCTAATAACATTCATGGTGATCACCATGCGATCGCTCAACTCTATTGTCTATCATATAAATTAATTGTTAATAAAAGCTAAAAACCAAAAAGAATATATATACTGACCAGGATCTTGATCCTTGACCGTATTTTCGTGGATGAGAATACCAAATATTCTGGAACCCCATGTCTACACGTGTTTTTTTACACACTTCGAACTGCTCAGAAAACGAGTCGACAAAGTAAAGAACACACGATGCAAAAGACCGGAAGCGGAAAGCGGAATTATGAATAAATTCTATGGCGCCAATATTAAAATCACGTGACTACTTTTTTCGAAAGCGTATTTAAACTCAATTCTCTCGAACATATTTAACTTTTTTATATTATATTTATATTATGTTAATGAGATCCATTAACACATATTAGTTAGTATGCACTATTACTCATCTAGCAAAATAATAAAATTAAAAATTTTTATTGTAGAGAGCGGATATATATATGTATTTACTCTTATATGTGCAAAAATAAACTTTATTTCAAAATTTTAAATTTCGAAATAAAACATGAAACATAAGAAAATATAAGTTAGATTTATATATTTAAACTTTAAACATTTGGATTATCTTACTAATAATAATAAAATAATGTATGAATAAAAATATAATCATAAATCATACATATAAACTAAAAAAAATCAGATTTGTTATATTCGAATCAAAAATCAATTATATAT